GAATTTAGGGACATTTCTGTAAGTGTAAGCCAGTTTGTTTCTGTTTGTGCGCAACCGTATTCGATTGTGTGCTCGTTTTGGACCCAGATCAGACCGGCGTCTGTGGTGCAGTGGTAGGCTCTAGACTGCAGAAGGTCTTTTTTTGATTCCCACAAGAATGCGCTTTTCTTTTGAAGAACCCCTGTCGGTGGATGATGGGTGCTCTGGGGTGGTTTGCTTCTTCATTCCTACTGCACATCTATAGCCCTTATCTCTCCTCAATCTTTTATTCGTAAGTAATTTCTTTCTCTCCCCCCCCCCTCCCAGGACTTGCCTGATGTCAGCAAAAGGCCGGCGTTCGGATCCTGGGCCACAATGCCCATGTTCTTCGGGACCTCCGTCTTCTCCTATGAGAGCATTAGCCTGGTGAGTGTGGGTGAACTGTCCACTGGTCAAACCTTACGGACAAACTGGATATTGTTTGCTTCAAATATATGAAAATCAAGATTGTGACATGTTGATAATAATATTTAAAAAAAAGTTGTTCCCGCATCCGATCCGGTCATTGGGGATTGCCTTGTTAGTGAGACAACTTTCTGGGCCTTCAGTATATTGTGGTAGGGGGGCCAGCTCCTTTCCACGCCGCTCTTACTTCCCCAACTCGAAGTCGGGTACCCATAATGCAGGGTGGGCAGAAGGGGGCGAAAAAAATTCGTGTCCGAACTCGGATTTTCCGCTTCGGAGACGAGCGCACTAACCTCTCGGCCACCGCACCCTCTTGATAATAGTATAATTGGGCTCAAATACAATGTTTGGTAGATACATTGGCTACAGTATAATATTTCATGTAGACATGATCTTTTAAAAAAACAACCCAACAACATGAGGGAGATTGAACTCTCTTGTTTTTTCTTCAGTATAATATGCTTTGCATTTGTTATATTTTAAAAATAATGATATATTATTAATACGTCTGGCGCTTGTCTGACATGCACGTAACTGTCATAGTGGCCTGACACTAGAACGGTGATCATCAGACATTTGTCTGACATTGGCCCTGCACAAGTCTACCAATATTCTGATAGCAGTCAAACAATTTTCCACACTTTATGGTAATATCAAAGTCAACTGGCAAAACAATAATAGGAATAGTGGTAGATGGGAAGAGAATCAAACAAATACCTCAATTCAAATATTTAGGGGTAACAATCACAGACGATATCAAAAGTAAATAAGAAATGCCTATATACCCCCCCCCCCAAGCAACAACAACAATTAAAAAACCCCAAAACAAACAAACATAAAAAGAACCAACAACAACAGCGAAAGATGTAGATTTAATAATATTCAGTAAAACGCTCAAACTCTTCATATCAAGGCAATTATCTATACCTTTAATAAGGAGGAAATAGGTGACGTACTACATCTACCACTTTCCCATATGAGGCTGAGACATGGATTTTGTGAAAGAAATAAGAACACAAGGTACGAGTATGTATTATTATTATATGAAGCGAGTCAGACTCTCCTCGCACGACAAAGCCTGCTAAACGAAACTGAAAATAGAAAAATATATTTTAGTCATATAAAACGCCACCACACCATTGTGAAGGGAATACTTAAAGGCTAGCTATTATTTTATGGAGGACAGGGCCTAAGGGTGGACAGTACGCAATGCGGGTCAACTAATAAAGATAGCTATGTGGGCAGAATGCACGAGAGTAGCAAAGCGACCGTAACAAATGGCGGGTCATTGAAAGTCAAACTCCGCCAGGTGTTCCAGGTATGTCACACATTCAGGGTCTTCATTAGTGGGAATGTGCATATCTCTCTCTCTCTCTCTCTCTCTCTCTCTCTCTCTCTCTCTCTCTCTCTCT